CAGACTGAAGAAGTGAAATGTGCATTCAGATATATGTGAGTGAACTTTTCAAAGAATGGGCCATGAAAGATAGGTAACCACAGAGGCATAAAAAAGGGTGGTTGATGATGCACCGAGGCATCTGTGGAAACAATGAATGATATCTATGGAGGCAAAAATAGAAATTACAAAGGTACAAAAACATTCTTATAAAGGTATGAGAGTTATATTTTATAAATAAAACAGCAAGGAGACCGAGTGACGATGTTCTGAGGCACTGTTTCGTGTGAATACTATGCAATTAAAAAAAAAGAAAAATCATAGTTTGGAAGATTTGGAGGGTCAGAGTTACTAAAAGGGCCAAGGCGGGGTTATTAATTACGGTGGTTTGGACCTTTAGAAAAGATGGAGTAAATAAGACAGTTGGTGAGGTGTAAAAATCTGTAGTGTGAGGGTAGGAGTCGAGAGAAACATAGGAAAGGATTATGAGAAGGATTAAAGGTATTGTTATATATCAGGGATTTGGACATCCAACAGGCATGTGCAAGTAGTAATAGGAGTGGAGGCCATTAGCTTTATGACGAAGTGCTGTGTTTGGAGTCTGCCATCCCTGCCAGGGGGGGGGGGAACGCAAATTTCCCCTTCACTTCTTCAGCCCCTAATTTTATCGAAACTAGATTATGAAAACCAGATATATTCTGCAGCTTCTCCCACAACTCTTTCTAAATTTGATCCCATTCATCATCAGGGATTATGGTTGTGTCTAGGTGCTTTTCGTTTCTCCCCCGTCGAGAGCCTATATGCAGAGGTGAATGTTCCATCTTTGATCGACTGGCATGATGCCCATTACTTCTGATGTTTTGTCCGCTCTTATGACCTTCACGATCCTTCTACATACAAGGTGGTAACAGATATTAGTAGAGGTCCATTATTTGATCACTGCCTCTGTTTACTCCATTCCTTTTCTCTTCGTATTCACTTGCTCTTGCTTCTCTTAGTTTGCCCCCTTTATATGTTCATCTAGCATCTAACTTTTCTCTTCCCCCTTGGGAGGTTCTGATAGTTCGAGTCTGTTCCCCACTGCTGCGTGTGAAACCTCATTTACCTACAGCTGTTTCTCACCCCCTTTTTCTTAACCACTTCCAGTCTCATTCTCATGCTGTTGCAGTTTACACTGATGGTTCTTAAGCCTCTGACAGTGTCTGGTTTGCAGCAGTGTTCCCAAATAGTGTTGTCTGAGGTCATTTATTAGACTCAGCTAGCATTTTCACAGCTGAATTGTATACAGTTCTCACAATGAATATCCATATTCCATCCAGACCTACCTCAACATTTGTGGTAGTGTCAGGCTCCTTTAGTGCTTTGCAGGCCATCATAAAATTTAATTCACCTCATCTCCTAGCTCATCACATACAACTTTTGTTGCACTGCATTTCTAGCAACAACAAAGAAATCATTTTCTGCTGAGTCCCTGGTCATGTGGATGATCAGGGCAACAAGCAGACGGACCCATCTGTGCAGTCAGTGGTATATGACTTTCACGTTTCATCTAGGGGTATTCCATTCTCAGACTATTTTGCTGTAATCTCTAGCCACCTTCACAACTGTTGGCAACAACGTTAGTCTGTGTTGATTCATAACAAATTCTATTCTGTCAAGTGATGTTTAGGATTCTGGTCATCGTCTTATCTTCACTGTCATGGTTGGGAGACTACGCTTTCCTGTCTTCACATCAGGCACACCTCACTCATGGGTATCTCATGGAGAGGCGCCTAGTTCCACAGTGAAAATTGTCAGGTTCCAATTTTAATTTACTAGCAAGCATACAGAATTTACATCTGATGTCATCACTGCTGTAACACCCTTACTGTATCTTCTCTCCTCGTTGACGGCCCCACCTTCAACACAGACTCATTCTTTGACTTTTTGACAGCAACAAATTTATTACACAAACTTTGATTATACTTGCTTTAGCACTTCACACTACCCTTACTAACTCTACCTCTGTTATACTCTCCATCCTTGCTAGTCTCTGATAAAGTACATCACAAACCTTTAGCATGCCCTACCCTGCAGCATTGTATGACCCTTGTGGGTTTAGTGCTTAGTTATGATTATAATCATAATACAAGCCTGGTCTGACAAATGACTCCTTGAAGCTTAACATCACCAAGTGCAAAGTTATGAAGTTTAGGGAAGGACGAAGAAGACCACAGATGGAGTACAGGCTCAGGGGGGTCAAGGACTGCAAACCTCACTCGTGAAGAAGGATCACATCCCGAGATGCATATCAACCAAATAACTGCTGCAGCATATGGGCATACCTAAGAATAGCATTTTAACATTCATGTAAGGAGTCATCCATGACACTGTACACCATGTATGTCAGGCCCGTATTGGAGTACGCAGCACCAGTATAGAACCAACACCTGGTCAAGTACATCAAGAAAGTGTAGAGGTTTGCAATATGACTAGTCCCAGAGCTAAGAAGTATGTCCTATGAGGAGAGGTTAAGAGAACTCAACCTGACAGGAGTGCTGGGAGGTATAATAATGCTGTACAAAATAATGAGAAGAATTGACAAGGTGAACAGGTGCAGAATGTTTCAGAGATAGGATACAGGAAAAGGGCACAGCTGGAAGTTGAAAACTCAGATGGGTCATAGGAATGTTAGGAAGTATTTCTTCAACCTTAGGGTTGTCAAGAAGTGGAACAATCTGGAGAGGGAAGTAATAGAGGCAGGATCCATACATAGCTTTAAGAAGAGGTACAATAATGCTCTTGGAGTGGGGGAAAAGAATTGGACCTAGTGACCAGCAGGGTGGGGCCGAAACTGTGACTCGACCCCTGCAACCACTATAGGTAAAATACATATAGCGTTACCACTCAGTATTAGCCCCCTCATTTGTAAAGCATGTCAGTCTGGGAAAAATTGGATTTTCAACGAGAATAGTCCTGGAGCTAAGGGGTGTGTGTTATGGCGAGACGAAGGAAGGGCCCAAACTGATATCTAATATTACAGGCAGAAGGACTAGGGATGACATGGGGTAACATGGCATAATACTGATATCAAGACAGGGGCAACTGACTGACAGAGGCAGGTTCAGGGACACAAGGGCCACGGTGAAGCTTTTAAAAATAGATGAGTAGAGGAATGTTAGGAAAATTTCTTTTTGCTTGAGAGTTATCGGGGAATTAGAATGACCCAGACAATTGGTTGAGGGGCAGGGGTTATTCATAGTTTTAAGAGGCAGAATAAAGGCACACAGCCCGGAGATGAAAAACCCGGAGCAGCCACATGGGGCCGGAGCTGAGACTCAACCCCTACAATTCATGTGGTATAACCACACTAAATACTGATATTCATAAAAAAACCAGAATTGCCAGTTTCAAGTCATTTTAAATAAAAATGGTCCCGTTCCATATTTCCATAAGTTTTAAACAGAATGGAAAAAATTTTCCCTTGTCATCCCCTTTTGGATGGTCACAGTGTATTTTTTTTAACTGAAACAGTACTAAGGAGTCTTGTTTAATAAAAATACCCCAAGTGTGGTTACAGTTATTGTAACCGAAGGGGAAAGAGTAATGTGAAGTGCCCCTTTGAAAAAGTTAATCAATATTGTTAAAAAGCCAGGTATACAAGTTCACTTCATTTTCGTTATGATGCGTGTAAGTCATAATTTGGGGCAATTAATTTTTATATGTATAAAGTTTCCTTATTATGCTCTTCATTTTTTGGAAACTGTTTTTTGTGTTCAATTTTCTTTTTTTTTAAAGGTTTTTCTGTATCACACTAAATTTTTTCAGTTTCCTAACTAAACTCTACTTTCTTGACTTTAAATGAATCTGTCTCTCAATTACCTAAAAGAATACAATAAAAAATTTTTACAAGTCGGATATTTGAAAAAAGTGGAAAAAAAAAAAAATTTGGGTTTATTTTTTCCCGTAAAAATATTATTTTTGTCCTAGTTTATTAAAAGGTTAGTTTTTTAAAATTTTAAAAAAAAAAAAAAGAGAAAAGGAAATTTAAAAAATTTTTTAAAAAATTCATATTTTCATTTTAGGGGAAAAGCTTAAATAAAATTGGGTATTTTCCAATCTTTTATAATGATAAAAACAGTTATAAAAATTTTCCCCTTGCAATATTGAATTTTTTGGAATAACAAAGAAAAATTTTTGGGTTTAAGAGGGAATCCCTGGACCCTTTATTAATTTAAAAAAAGTATGTATCTGAAAAATTAAAGGCAAAATAAAATTTTTTTGTTAAAGATTTTCTCCTAAAAAAACCCATAATTCCACTTTTGATAATGCATAAAAATTCAGTTTTTTTCTAATGTAAATTTAAAATTTTTTTCCCTTGAAAACAAATAGGAAACAACAAGCAAAAATCAAAAAACAAATTGCTGTCATTTTTTTTAAAATTAAAAACAAAAAGAAATGCTAAAAAATATTGTTTAAATCCTTCAAAGCAGCGGGGAAAAGGGTTTTAAATACAAGAAAAGAAACTTAGTCAAAAGGAAATTTGGGAAATTTAATTTTTTCCTTGTATAATCCCCCGGGGTTTTTAGCGCTTCCCCCTTGATTAAAAAATTTAAAAATTTTTTCCTTTTTGGGGATCAAAACCTGAAAAACCTTCCATTCTCATTTACTGTATGGCCCCTATGGATTTAGCATTTCCCCAAAAATTAAAAGGGTGACTGGTTTGTTTAAAAAATTAAAAGAAGTAAATGCAAGGGGTTTTTGGGGGAAAATTTTGGGCCCAAAAAAAAAAGAATCCCAACACACAGTGAAAAGTTGTTACTTTGCTTTTTTCTGATGCACAGTGCTTTTGGGAGATACGAAGAGAAGTCGCAAAAGGGTGGTGGACAAATCTGGGAGGGAATGGAAAAAAGAAAATTATAGGTAAACAGGAAAGAGCAAGGTGATGAGTGACAATAAATTTACGTAATGAAAGATTGGATGTCAGACTGGAAGAAGTGAATGCATTCAGATATTTGTGAGTGAACTTTTCAATGAATGGGCCTATGAAAGATGAGGTGAACCACAGAGGCATAAAAAGGGGGTTGATGCACCGAGGCATCTGTGGAAACAATGAATGTTATCTATGGAGGCAAAAATAGAAATGTATCAAAGTACAATAACATTCTTATATGGGTGAGAGTTATGAGTTTTAAATATTACAGCAAGGAGACTGGAGTGACGATGTCTGAGGGCAATGTGTCGTGTGAATATTATGCATTAAAAAAAAAAAATCATAGTTTGGAGATTTGGAGGGTCAGAGTTACTAAAAGGGCCAAGGAGGGGTTATTAAGGTGGTTTGGACTTTAGAAAAGATGGAGTAAAATAAGACGAGTTGGAGGGTGTATAAATCTGTAGTGGAGGGGAGGAGTCGAGATAAACTTAGGAAAGGTTAGAGGATGGATTAAAGGTTTATATGCAAGGGATTTGGACATCCAACAGGCATGTGCAAGAGTATAGGAGTGGAGGCCATTGGTTTTATGACGATGTGCTGGTGGAGTCTGAGCAAAGTAACATTTATGAAGGAATTGAGGGAATCTGGTTAACTGGAGTTGGAAGTACAGTGCCTGCACTCTGAAGGAGGGGTAGGGTTATTGCAGTTTGGAGGGGTCTCCGAGCTGTAATGTCGGTGTGCCTCTGGCAAGACAGTGATGGAGTGAGTGGTGGTGGCGAAAGTGCTTCTTCTTCTTCGGGTCACTCTACTTTGGTAGGAGATGGCCGTTGTGTTAAAAAAGAATACTAATGTAATCATTCTGAAGAAATGAACTGGGTTGGTCTTTTAAAGAAATGCTCATTATGGACAGATACCTTACAAAAAAATACTGGTCTTAAAAAGGAAACATTTCATTTAATCCCATTATGACCTGAGCTTGTTAACCCTTTCAGGGTCCAAGGCCAAAATCTGAAGGGGGTGCCCCAGTGTCCAAGAAATTTTGAAAAAAGAAAAAATTATTTTTTTATTACAGAATTAAAGATAATATTTTTGTGAAGGTAATAAAACAAAAAAAAAAAAATTCTGATCAATACTTACCGAGATACAGTGGCAGGAAGTTGACCCAAAATGACCGAGTGGCAGCAACATCAGCGACTTCCGCAAAATCGCATTTTTTTATTTTACGTTTTTTTTTATACTTTTTTCTTTTCTTTCTAATTTTTTCTTTTTCTAGTAACATTTGTGGTCTGTGAGACCAATTTAATGTATATTGTATAAGTGTACACTCATTGTATTCAACACAATAACTGCACTAATTTGTTTATCATTATATTACTTACAAAACTTGTTTACAAGTTTATTGTAAACAAAATGATGAAAATATTAGTGCGGTTATTGTGTTGAATACAATGGTACCATATAGTACTATATGGTACAATGGTGCCATAGGCTGCAATGGTACCATATGATACAATGGTATCATATGGTGCAATGGTACTTTATGGTACCATATAGTGAAATAGTACCATATGGTGCAATGGTACCACATGGTACAATGATACCATATGGTTCATTGTACCATATGGTACATTGTACCATATGGTACTGTTGTATTCAGCACAATAAACACACTAATATTTTCATCATTATTTCGTTTACAATAATTGTTTACAACAAAAATATGCAAAAATGTTGTATATTAGTAATGTTCTATTATACTATATTTACAAATGTACAGCCACTCGACATGTTTCTTGAGGTGGATGACAAAGCGCTTGTCTTGGAAACTGCGCGTCATCACTCACTCAGTCTTGCCTGGTGGCAGCAACATCTGTAACTGACCATATGGTACATGGTATTATATGTTACAGGGTACCATATGGTACATTGTACTATATGGTATAGGGTACTATACAGTACAGGATACCATATGGTGCAGGGTACCATATAGTGCAGGGTACCATATGGTGCAGGGTACCATATGGTACAGGACACAATATGATACAGACACAGGGATCCCTATGGAAATAAGTCACCCTGACTTTTTTGAGTTATCCTAGGATTTTATACATATGCTGGTATGTATGATAATGTATGTAACTGTATTTGTGTACACCTGAATAAACTTACTCAAGCACATGTGGCATCATAAGTTTATTTATGTATACACAAATAAAGTTACATAGATTATCATACATAGCAGCATATGTTTGGAGAACCAAAAAAAGTCAGACAGACTTATTTCCATTAGGGTCCCTGTACCATATGGTACAATGTACAATTATATGGTACAATGTACCATATGGTACAATGTACAATTATACCATATGGTACATTGTACTATATGGTATAATGTACCATATGGTATAATGTACCATATGATACAATGTACTATATGGTACATTGTACCATGTGTTACCATGGTACCATATGATACCATTGTATGACATGGCACCATTGTACCATATGGTTCAAAACCATGGAATTCCTCTTCAGATCCACTTCCATCAGTCTTAGAACTGTAAGTTGTGAAGAGGAGAGTCAGAATTCGCCAGGAGAGTGAGTGGGGAGTGAGAGCTTCCTTGCTGCCAGGCATGATGAACAAAGCACTTTGGCGGCATTCCCACAATGCCATGCAGGCATCCAGATTTTTTCTATAGTGCACACACTGACCACCCAGGCCCATTCTCTCAGATGTAGGCCTACCAGCCTTCTTGCGCTATTTGACACCGCTAGAATTTTGGCGTAGATCTACAGTCTGGACCCTCAACATAAAGCCGTAGAACTATGGCATGGACCCTGAAAGGGTTAATGGATCAAGAGGATTGCAGCCTAGTCTCGGCAAAGGCTTGACCCGTTCTGTCTACATACCTAGCTCACGTCCCCCAATTATGAAGGAAACAATAAACTTTTTTTACCTCTTTACATTCAACCTTTAGTGGACAGGTAGCATTAGATATAATTATTATAATCATGGGAAGCAGTAAACCCATAGGATCATACAGCACGTGGGGAGGGGGGAAATGGAAGGTATTCCAGCTCAATTCAGGGAACCAGAGCACAGATCCAATTTCCTAGAACAAGAGCCCCTCACTAACTTCAAGGAACCTCCCTTGAGGGGTGGTAGGGTTGGAGTAACATCACATCAAGACAGTTCTAACAACAAAACTGTGAATGTTTCCCTATCTAGAAATAAAAAATGCATATAAATTTTATATGCAGAATCTGGCAAGTTGTTTTTAAATCTGCAATTTACCTTCGACCAGTTCCATGAGTTTTCTTACTCTCTCAACCCAACTTCCCTTGTTGATTTCTATTGGTGACTCAATGGCTCACATCTATCATAGTCTAAGCGATCTGGCACATGGTACTGATAGTGATTCACACTCCTCTTGAATACTTCCACACTTATTCTGGCAATGTTTCTGATATCCAGTGGCAGCTGGCTGAACAGACGAGGTTAATGGTTGTTGACACTGTGTTCTCTTATTGTGCCCATGGCTTCCCTGCTTATTACTGGGCCAACATTATACTACTTTCTTCCGTGTCTTGCTTCAGTAAATTATTAATGCAGTGTGCAAGTTTATGACTCCCTCTCAAATTTGGATTTTTCTCTCTAACCTAAGAGGGAGGTGTCAATTTCTAACATTTTACTATCTCCATTCTTATACAAGTTTGAGGGAGATGTTACTATATACAGTACATACAAGTGTAGAATATCACGTAATACATATAGAGCATGGTGTATAATTTGTCTCTATTGCATACTGAATAAAAGAAATATTTACCAGTTTTAATGCTGTGACCACTGAATGCTTTTTAGATCTATTCCTTCTTGGACCATTTCCCACAAAGGGCTGAAAGGAAAAAAAATTAATAAGCAAGAATGACTAGACACATCTCTACTGCTTTAGGGAAGTATATGAAGTCTTTACAGTTATACAAATTTTTGTATTAAAACAATCTTAAAAGGCCACTCTTTAACCCTCATTCTCCTATTATTCCCTTTCTCTGCCCTCCCTCTTCCTATTACTGCAATACTTAAAGATTTCATTAGCTGATGTACAAATCAGAGGTAATGGAATATGACAAGAAAACAAGTAGCCAGCTTTTGTTCCCACTATGTAACTATTATAATGAGCGAGGTAGCAACACACTACTAATATACTGATTTTTTTTACTAGAGAAAAAATACCAACACCTTGAAGTAAATTGTAGATTACAGTAAATTATCAATTTAACCAACATAATTTAGTGAACTGAAGAAATACAAGACAACATCAGCTGGGTCAATTAATTTGGAAACGACAGATGTCAGTCACAGAATTGTAGTTCTTGTTACGAAAACAAAACAATCTCATCTCTATTCAACATACCAGCCATTAACCCTTTCAGGGTTGACAGGCCCTCTCAGTGATTTGTTCTCAGGGTCGGCCAAATTTCAAAAAAAAAAAAAAAAAAAAAATTCTTCTTATGAAAAGATAGAGAATCTTTTCCCGATCATAATGACACCAAAAATATGAAATTTGATGGAAAACTTACGGAATTATGCTCTCGTGAAGTTAGCGGTCTCGACGATGTTTACGCATCGGCGATTTTGCCAACTTTGAGCCCTATTTTCGGCCAATTCCAGTGTACTTGTCGACAAAAATCATAACTATTTCACTAGAACTCCATTTTTTCTATTGAATGAGTACAAGAAACCACCCATTTACTGATTTCGACTATCCAATACAGTGGTCAGAATTTAGCAATTTTGCCAATTTCACACAAATTTCAAAAGATGCCAATTTCCGAATAGGGTCCAGAATAAACAAGAAAGACATTCCTGGCACTAAAATAACACTTCCTCTGTTCATTAGTCATGTCCCCATGCCCCTCTTACATTCTTTTGCTTTCCACTGTTATGCAGACTACTGCATTGGTGTAGAAATGGTATAAATATTATCAGCGCACTTGTGAAAGAATATTAGACTCACCAGTTGACGTGTATTGGACGCATAGCATGATTTGTTTACTTTTGAACTTTGGTAAAAATTGAACATTTCTGCTACTTTGAGCGCAATTTCAAGGTACTTTTCATTGTAAAACCAGTCAAAATCATCTCAATTTCTGTAACATGTCTTCAATTCTATAAAATGAGACCAGGAAGACTAGAATACAACAATAAATACCATACGAAAATACAGTGCAAAGTCGCTGTTTTAATCCAAAAACACGGTCAAAATTTTTTTTTTTTCTCATTATGCACTGTGTGCTGCAGGATTTTTTTTATGCCGCACACACTGACCCATTCTTTCATATGTAGGCCTACCAGCTTTCTCTCGCTAGATTTGAGGGCGCTAGAATTTAGGCGTACTAGTACGTCAAAAACCCTGGTGTGTAAGCCGTACTAGTACAGCTGAAACCCTGAAAGGGTTAATGGCCACCCACTTTATTCTATTACTCCTTTAACCCTTAATCTATCGCAGTTCATCTAATATGACATAATAAACAATATATATAACATAGAAACCTGATATATACTCTAAAATGAATAAAATATGTCATTCATGTAGTGGTATCGTCAGCGGACGAGAGTTTGTCTGGAGACTGGACACAATACTTCTTGAATAATTTTGCTAATATCATCTATACAGCTTATTTATCTATCACAGTTCATCTAATATGACATAATAAACAATATAAATAACCTGACATATACTCGAGAATGAATAAAATACGTCATTATGTAACAGGTGGAGGCAGCCACAATTGCTCCCTCTTTGTTGTGGTAAACACTGCCATCTAGTGATGGCCTTATGAAGCCATCTATTATTATAATTATTATTATATAGTACATTATTATCCTAGGTAGTAAGTTGGTACACAGCAACCGCCCAAGGAGGTACTTCCGTCCTGCCAAGTGAATGTAAAATGAAAGCCTGTAATTGTTTTACATGATGGTAGGATTGCTGGTGTTTTTTCTGTTTCATAAACATGCAAGATTTTAGGTACGTCTTGCTACTTCTACTTACACTTAGGTCACACTACACATACATGTACAAGCATATAGTACATACACATCCCTCTGGGTTTTCTTCTATTTTCTTAATAGTTCTTGTTCTTGTTTATTTCCTCTTACCTCCATGGGGAAGTGGAACAGAATTTTTCCTCCGTAAGTCATGCATGTTGTAAGAGGCGACTAAAATGCCAGGAGCAAGGGGCTAGTAACCCCTTCTCCTGTATTTATTACTAAATGTAAAAGGAGAAACTTTCGTTTTTCCTTTTGGGCCACCCCACCTCGGTGGGATACTGCCGATGTGTTGAAAGAAAGAAAGTGTACATTATTATATATATATATATATTTCTTTTTCAACAAACCGGCCGCATACCACCGAAGCAGGGTGGCCCAAAAAGAAAAACGAAAGTTTCTCTTTTTAAATTTAGTAATTTATACAGGAGAAGGGGTTACTAGCCCCTTGCTCCTGGCATTTTAGTGGCCTCTTACAACATGCATAGCTTACGGAGGAAGAATTCTCTTCCACTTCCCCATGGAGATTAGAGGAAATAAACAAGAACAGGAACTAGTAAGATAATAGAAGAAAACCCAGAGGGGTGTGTATATATATGCTTGTACATATATGCGTAGTGTGACCTAAGTGTAAGTAGAAGAAGCAAGATGTACCTGAAACCTTGCATGTTCATGAGACAGAAAAATGGGCACCAGCAATCCTACCATCATTTAAAACAATTACAGGCTTTCGTTATACACTCACTTGGCAGGACGGTAGTACCTCCCTGGGTGGTTGATGTCTACCAACCTACTACCTATACATTATTATATATGTATTATTATTACAGTAGAGCCCCACTTATATGGCAGGTTAGGTTCCATGCTACTGCCGTAAAGCGGAAATCGCCGTAAAGTGGAACACCCTTTTTTCCCCCTTATAAATGCATATAAATATGAGATAACAAGTTTACACTAACATATATTAAGTTAGCAATAGAACTAGGCATCAAAAAACAATAAAAAAGTACAATACACACATGGTGCACTCATTACTTACCTTAAAATATTTATAGTCTTAATCTAGGGTGAGACAAGTAGTATTTATTGTAAGAAATCAAGTGTGGTATGTATGGTAGTCAGCCAGGCTACCATACCAGGCCACCCCACCTAGACGTAATATTCTATTACATTTAAGCATCCCAGAGCGATAAAATGCATATACAATTTACTCATTACTTACCTTAAAATATTTGTAGTCTTAATCTAGGGTGAGATGAGTAGTATTTATTGTAAGAAATCAAGTGTGGTATGGTAGTCAGCCAGGCTACCATACCTGGCCATTCCACCCACACATATACAGCAGGGCCCCGCTTTACGGCGTTTCGCTTTACGGCATTCCGCTAATACGGACATTTCAAATTATGACCAAAACTCGCTATACGGCTCCCCCCACCTGTCTTTCTAATACGGTCACAGCGGCCCACCGAGTTTGTTTACATTCTCCCTTAGCACATCTCCTTATTATGTCTGGAAACTTTCCAAAATTTCAAGTGTTTTAAAGTTATTGTATATTTTATATGTATTGTACTTGATAATTAAACTTGTGTACACCTGTACCTAAATAAACTTACACACTGTGCTGGCATGTAGGTACACCATTAAAATCACTAAGAGTCTCTCTACTCTTGATGCAATAATAATAATAATAATAAATAATAATAATAGTAATAATAATAATCTCTTGGGCGCATTAATGTTGCATATTACGTTAATATAGACATTTCCCTTAATCTATGATATTTTTTTCAAAATTATATAAAAACACATTATGTAACACACAAACATGATACATGCACCCACAGTATAAAAATTTATACAAATATATATGAGAATGTTACCAAACGGTTTGTAGAAGTGTCGGAAGAATTACGTTTTCTCTAGCCCTCACCTGTTACTAGGGATAACTGTAGAAAAATATTCCTTTCGTATGCCTTCACTTTATAGCTATAATTCTGTACTAACTTGTACACAGTGTAAGAGTATTTGTTTCGTGATTTAATTATTATAATAATAATAAAAATATTATAAGGTAAAAGTTTCACAAACTCTTACAAATGTACATGAATGAACTAAAACTGGACACGTATTAATACCGTCTATTTCGCCTGACCGAGTGATCGTCCACAACCTGTTCAGTTTGTTTGTTTGTTTACGCTGTCTGAGCTCGGTGTATCATTAAATGTTGTGTATTACGTTAATATACACATTTTCATTAATCAATCCGTGATATTTTTTTCAAAATTATATAATAAACACGATACATAACAAATACATAACATATGTGTAGAGAACCTAGGATAACCCAAAAAAGTCAGAGTGACTTACTTCCATTGCCTTCACTCAGAGCATCATTTCTTCTCAAAATGATGTTACATGAGAATGGGAGTGTTCTTCTTTATTTATTCTACCGTATCAATGTAGAGACAACCTGTACACAATGTAACTTGTACACAAACCAGACGTGTACACTGTTTACAAAACTTACCTTCGCCTGGTTTGTTTACATAACTCTGCGCCTGTCCTCTCTCATGCACTCATTCTTTCTCTCTGGTATGGTAGCCTGGCTGACTACCATACATACCACACTTGATTTTTTACAATAAATACTACTCATCTCACCCTATATTTTAAGGTAAGTAATGAGTGAACTGTATATACATTTTATCGCTCTGGGATGCTTAAATATCATAGAATAGTATGTGTGGGTGGGGTGGCCTGGTATGGTAGCCTGGCTGACTACCATACATACCACACTTGATTTCTTTTACAATAAATACTACTTGTCTCACCCTAGATTAAGACTATAAATATTTTAAGGTAAGTAATGAGTGCACTATGTGTGTATTGTACTTTTTTATTGTTTTTTGATGCCTGGTTCTATTGCTAACATAATATATGTTAGTGTAAACTTGTTATCTAGTGTTTGTATGCATTTGTAAGTGGAAAAAAAGGGTGTTCCACTTTACGGCGGTTTCCGCTTTACGGCGGTAGCCTGGAACCTAACCCGCCGTATAAGTGGGGCCCTCCTGTATTCTATGATATTTAAGCATCCCATGTAGGGTCAGGGGTGAGTAAACGAGATAAAATTAATAAATGAGAGAGAGAGAGAGAATGAGTACACGAGGGAGGACAGGCGCAGAGTTATGTAAACAAACCAGGTGAACCCAAGTTTTGTAAACAAAGTGTACACGTCTGGTTTGTGTGCAAGTTACATTGTGTACAAGTTGTCTCTACACTGATATGGTAGAATAAATAAAGAACACCACTCCCATTCTCATGTAACACAATTTTTAGAAGAAATGACGCTCTGAGTGAAGGCAATGGAAGTAAGTCACTCTGACTTTTTTAGGTTATCCTAGGTTCTCTACACATATGCTGTTATGTATGATAATCTATGTAACTGTATTTGTGTATACCTGAATAAACTTACTTACGTACATACGAAAGGAATAATTTTCTACAGTTACCCCCAGTAACACATTTTCTCTTATGTTAGACTAGAGAAAATGTTATTCTTGCCGTCACTTGTACAAGTTATCTGGTTACAACATCTCATATTTATGTTTATTTATTCTACTGTGGGGTGTATTTATCATCTTTATATGTTATACATCGTGTTTATTATATAATTTTGAAGAAAATATCATAGATGGATTAATGAAAATGTGTATATTAACGTAATATACGACATTTAAATGAGACTCGGTGATTATTATCATTACTAATATGACGTCTAGAGAAGTAA